TCAAAGGCAACTGAAAAAGGGTTAAAAGTAATTTTTGTGTAAAGCAAAGTGTATGTTAAAGACAGTAGCAATGACAATTGGCTGGTTGCAGAAAAACATAACGATTTGTTTTTATTTGAAAGTAGCATGAAAACAGTAGTTGCAGCTAATGTGAATGCAAATATGAATCAATTGGTGAAATGGCATGATGGGTTCGGGCATCTAAATTTTGATAGCCTAAATAAAATGATTAAACAGGGCATGGTTCATGGACTTCCAGCTAGTGTGTGTAATACAAATGACTTTGTGTGTGAAACGTGTGCAAAAAGTATAATTTGCGTGAAGAAGAGAAAATCGCTCAGAGGAATTACTGGCGTTAGTTCATACAGATATTTGTGGTCCCATGCGTACGGCATCGCAAGGTGGAGCGTGTTATTTTGCAACATTTATTGACGATAAATCGCGTTATATGTCGGCGTACATGCTAAAAAATAAAAGTGATGTATTTGAGGAATTCAAAGACTTAAGAAAATTAGCTGAAAATCAAACTGGAAAACGCATAAAAGCCATAAGAAGCGACAGCGAACGTGAGTACCTGAGCGGTACATTTGAAAAATTCTTATCAAGCCATGGTATAAAAAGACAACTAACTGTTCCCCACACTCCACAACAAAATGGTGTGGCGGAGCGCGCCAACAGAACACTGGTGGAGATGGCGCGAAGTATGATGGTGCATGCTGGAGTTGGTGAATCTTTTTGGGGCGAGGCGATAATGACGGCTGCGTATCTTCGCAATAGGGCTGAAACTGCAGCTTTGATTGGCAAAACTCCATATAAGGATTGGTATGGGCAAAAACCGAGCGTATCTCATCTAAAAGTATTTGGTATGAAAGCTATTGTATTAAGTAAAAAGCATAAAAACAAGTTTTCAGAAAAAGGCGAGCAACATATACTGTTAGGTTACTCTGAGACTGCCAAAGCTTATCGTCTGGAAATCTGCGATGCAGAAGGAGTATGACAGCCTGAAAAACATTGAGACATGGAGTCTGGTCGATCTTCCAGCAGGCGAAAAGGCTATTGGTTGTAAATGGGTTTTTACCACCAAGCGTGATGAGTATGGCAACGTTCAGCGTTTTAAAGCTAGATTGGTCGCAAAAGGGTGCGGACAGTAATACGGAGTTAACTATACGGAAACGTTCTCTCCAGTTGCACGTTACTCCTCAATCAGATTAGTGATTGCGTTAGCTGTCGAGCACGGGATGCACCTGCATCAGATGGATGTCTCTGCAGCATACCTGAACAGCGAGCTACACGATGACGTGCATATGCGACAACCAGACGGTTTTATCGACGCGCGTACTGAAGCTGAAGAAATCGTTGTATGGCTTGAAACAGAGCGGTCGGGAGCACTCTTTTGGAGATTGGTTTCGTCCCATGTGCTAGTGAACCATGCATTTATACAACCAAAATCAAAGGGTATTTAAATATTATTGTTGTGTATGTTGACGATTTTTTACTTGCATGTACCAGAGAAGAAGATGTGGCCCATATTAAGCAGCTCATATCAAACAAATTCGATGTGGTCGATGGTGGGGAGCTGCACTACTTTTTGGGAATGGAGATTGAGCGAGATGGCAAGACTGGTAGTCTCTCCATAGGCCATAGGCAGTACATTGAAGATCTGCTGAAGGATTACGGCATGCAAGACTGCAAGCCAAGCGCGACTCCGTTGGAAATTGGTTTTCAGGCGAGGTGGGATGATGTTGACTGCGGCCAGGTGGATAAAACACGATATCAATCGCTCATTACTTCGTTATTGTATTTGGCGTTRACTACACGGCCAGATATAATACACTCTGTGGCTAAGCTGGCGCAGAGAAATGCAGATCCGCACAAGGAGCATGAAGTTGCAGCAAAGCGGGTATTGAGATATCTAAAGGGTACCTCTGATTTGAGACTACACTATAACAAAACGGGTGTGCCTATACACTGTTTTGTTGATGCGGACTGGGCTGGCGACAGTAACGATCGGAAGTCATTTACGGGTTGCTCATTCTGTCTTGCTGGAGCAGCAGTTTCTTGGGAGTCAAGAAGCAGAATTTGGACGCCCTGAGTAGCACAAGAGGCCGAGTACGTGGCACTTTCTACGGCAGCCAAGGAGGCGGTATACGTTAGAAAATTGATCAACGGGTCGATGGCACAGGTGCTGTTTTATAGCGATAAGCAGAGCGCACAATGCCTTGCTAAAGATGCAAAATTTCATTCGCGTTGCAAGCATATTGAAATAAAATACCATTTTGTAAGGGAAATGTACAAAAATAATGTAATAATATAAAGTAGATTCCCACAGATGAAATGATATCAGATGTATTAACGAAGAATTTATGTAAAGTTAAACATGAGAAATTTACTGGAATGTTAGGATTAAAATCATACATTTTTGTAAAGTAGACATCGCGTTGAGGAGAGTTAAAATTATGTATGTAAACACCGCTGAATGTCTATCTCTTTTGCTAACATTTTTCTCATGTTCTGTTAATTGTAACGGATATTCTTTCGTTTATGCTTTAAGTTCATATTTCGGCTGCCTGCGCTGCAGCGTATATGCTTATGTAGTTTTAGTCTCTAATAAACCTCTGAATCGAATAATTTATATGTATTTATATTTAAATAAGTAAGAAAATTCTAGTCGAGAGTGCTCGACTAGATTCTAAACTGATCCAAACTAATAAAAAAGCACATTTAAAAATGTTGACATAATAAGTGTCTTTCACTCACACAATAAAAAAGACTCAGACAGAAACTGTTTTGTCGCGTCTGAGCGAGACAGTTATTTCTGTTTTCGTTTCGTTAAATGAAGCAAATTGTCTTTTGCGTATGTATGGGTAATCACACGCGATTGTTGACGGACAGGGCTATATCGACTCAGCTCGCCGCCCTGATCAAGTATATGTATAGTTTATGGGGTCTGTGATGATTCCTTCTGCCTGTTTCATACTTTTCACAAAACTATTATATCCTGATTTCCCATTTTCAATGGGATCAGGGTATAAATGGAAGCATGGAAGCATATTTTGTTCAACAGTCGACCATCTCGGTCGAGCAAATACGAAGTTCTCTGGGGCCCGAGCACTTTTGTTACATCAGTAAATATGAATGTAAAATAAAGCAAGTAAGAAAGCTCTAGTCGAGACTACTCGACTACGAGATCCCCTTGGAG